GGGTGATGACATTCGCCGAAACAATCTTGCAACAACCCGCAGCAGCAGAGGCAGGATAAGCTACAACGTGGAAATTAGTATCAGACAAAAAACTTGCAAATGCACTCACCAAATAAGCAGTTCTACAGATGTATACCCCTAATCCATCAATTGTAACAGTTAGCCCCCAGCCATGGAACAAGCATAATTGACCACCAGTTTACCATCAAAACCAAAATTCTGCCAATGTTCAAGTAGCAACAATAAATATCAGGGGAAAGAAAAAACAGGAACGACAATAAATGCAGAAGTACAATAACAAAAACCAACTATACAATGCTGAAAGTTAATGATCTAATCCAACTGAAGTAATGCACTCTCACCTACCAATAAAAACTAACGGCTCCCTATGTTATTCCAAAACTAGGACAGAGCAAGTACAAAATCAACATAAGTTACATAACACAATTTTTTTCGGGGGACTGAATCCATAATTTTATTTAATATTTCTGCAGAATCTGCACAAGTGGTCTGGGGTAAATTATGAGAATTTGCACAAAATGACCAGGGATCCAACTGCTTTTCTGACAAAACAAAGAGAATCATCAAGGAAGGTGCACGAACAAATTTCATCCAAAGAAAATCTCCATGTTCACATTCAAAAGTAACCAGATCATTCAATTCTTTAGTGTATATAATCATACACTAACATGTGCTGCAGACAGAGCAGAAAACATTGGGGATGCCTAACATACTGTGAGCAGACAGAGCATAAAACACCACTCTCATACTGTGAGCAGACAGAGCAGAAAACTCCAAGGCAACAGTGGGCAGGCACCGCAGGGCCAACACCAAATGGATAGCACCAAAGGGAAACCATCTCATGAACTAAAAGAAACAAGAAGAGGGAAGGTTCCACAACTGGAACAAAACACCCTAAACACCCAAAGCAGTTCTAGAAAATAAAGATTTCAATGCCCAATATTTTTGCTGTCAAAGGATAAGTGTTATAAGTGTCATGGACCCTAATTCCTAATAGTTCAGTCAAATTATAGCATAGCACGTACTAATCACCACTCTTTTCATTTCCCAATATCAGGCAATCCAAATAAAGCACAAAAAAATATTAAAATCACCTGCTATAATTAAATCTAATTGCATCATCTTTTTTTTTTTTTTACCTTTTGGTATACAGTCCAATTCCTCAAATTTGATGAACAAGGAGGGAAAACAACGAGTTTGATGACATTCATTTCATAAATGTAGCCAGTGAACCAAAAAGATATCACAAATAGTTCCTTACAAATTTACACTAATCACACTTGATTAATTAATTAAATCATGAGGTACAGCAAAAACACAGCCAGAAGCCCAAAGCAAATTATCAATTCTATGAAAGCATTAATCAGGGGATAAAATCGCTGGAACTGTGGTAAATAAATTAATCACATAAGCAAAAAATGGAATCACATAAGCAATAAATTAATCATATATTTTTATGCTGATTTTGTTCTCAAATGTTAATGCAATAGTCCAATCAACTAATTAAAAAAATGATCTCACTAAGCTTAACGGAGTGGCGTGGATCAATGTGTGAAAAAAATAAAAAAAAACTGAACACCATCAACGAACGAACCAGTGTTCATATGAGCCTCAACCGAATCCTTTAGTTCATATGTGCAGAAATATGAGACCGAAAATTTCTAATCGGAGATATAATCCTTTGTCAGCAGATATACATCGCAATAAAGTGGGAAAAAAAAAAGAAATATAAATCAATGTGTGATTGTATGATTGTGTTTGTGAGTGACTGTGATTCGGTGGACCTTGGACCTTTTAGATACAAAATCAACAATAACAAACTAATTACGGAACTCACTATCACGCCGTAGTGGTGGCTGTGATTCAGTGGAGATGTGGTGGAGGGGATTTCGTTGGTGGAGAAGTTTTCGCTCGAAGAGAGGGATGAATGAGGGGTTTTGGATTGAGAGACCTGTTTGAGACACAATTGAAGTCGCCGGGGACTTTGGAGCTGCCTGAGCTAGTCGGAATTGCCGGTCGCCTGAGGTAGTCTTGAACACTCGAGAGGAGTTCGTCAGAGAGAGAGAAATCCACAGAATCATTTGGAGAAAAATTTAGGATTATGTTGGGGGTGAAAAAAAAATTATTATTTTAATTAAGAATTTGTGGCGTTTGGGCAAACGCCGGAAATTAAGAAAAAAAAAAACAAAGTTTTTTATTATTTTTATTAATAATTAGTGGCGTTTGATTTAAACTCTGTAAATTAAGCAAAAAAATTTTTTATTATTATAATTAAGAATTTGTGACGTTTGACTTAAATGTCAGAAATTAAGCGAAATTTCTTTTTATTATTAATTTGTGACGTTTGACTTAAACGCCAAAAATTAAGCCAAAAAACAAAATATTTTTATTATTTTTTATTAATAATTTCTAGCGTGTATAAACAAACGCCAATTTTAATGACGTTAAGGTTAAACGCTGAAAATTAAATTTCAAATTTTTTTATTTTTCTTGTAGTGTTTAAAAGGGGTAATTAATTACGGAAATAAAATACTATTTTTTAGCATCGTTCATTTGTTTACTATCCAATAAAAGGTGTCACTTATAATATTTTGTTATTTTTTTTATTATTATTTCAAACAATTATTATAAATCATTTAAATTAAAAATAAATAATCGAGACCAAATTTTGGTGAGGTACCCTGGTGCAATAGGCTTGTTAATTAAGCACACTGCAATCAACCTTTTCCAATGGAGTATTTTTATTACGAGTTCATTACCTGTGTTCTTTCAAGCCTTTTGCACAGGCTACTTACGAAAGCATTCAAAACGTCTCTAGAACGTAAAAAAAACCATGTCGCATTTAAGACTGAACTATCTTTTTAAAAATTAATTATACCCAAGAAATTATTTAGTATATACTCCCTCCATTCTTAAATATTTGTCGTTTAAGTTTTTTGTACAAGTATTAAGGAAGCTATTAAATAACTCTAATATGAGTAAAAAATAATTACACAAAATTAAAATACTCTTATTCAATACGTATTGAGAAGGAAAAGAATATGAAAGTCATTTAGCCTCCACCTAATCTAATACATTGAAAAGTTAAGGGTAAATTTGGAAGAAAAAATATTAATTATGCTTTGATTGCATAAAATGACAGATATTTAGGAACGGAGAGATTAATTTTTATAAAAGACAATATTGTGTTTATCAAATGTTTTTATCAAATATTTCATGTGGTTATCAAATAAGATTCAATTCATAGGAGCAACACAATTTATTGCTTGACTTTGATGGTGTTGTTGCTTGACTTTGATGGTGTTGTGCTGATGGACTGCCCTTTTGAAATAATAACTATGTTTCAAATCGAACATTTCAGAGAAAGAAACTCTCGTGGTCATGTTCAGGAATTATTACATACTCGTTGCCCTTTCCCTCTTTCTTCAAAAACAAAAAAAAATGATGAGACATAATTTTTTATCATAAAAAAAGTGAGTCTTATAAATAAATGACAAAAATTAATTCGAGCACAAAATCATAATTTCCACTTAAGCATAAAATTGCCTATTCGAGGAAAAAAAATCCTATAATCCTAATTCCAATCTCAATTAAAGCACATAATTCTCATACCCCAATTACTTTTAGTCTCTATTGAAACACATAATTCCCAGCTACTCCAAAAAAAATTTTAATTACTCTCAAAAACAAATTCCAATAATCCCATAATCCTAATTTCAATAGTTAGTTCCAATTAAATACTAATTCTAATAATCCCAAAAACTAACGTATGCACATTTCATAATAAATTTGGCAAAAAATTTAAAAAATAAATCTAGGTAAACATAAAATTCGAATTGAATTCAAATTGAACCTAATCAAACCAAATTCAAAGTGAACCTAATGAAACCAAGTTCAAAAAATCCAAATTAAACAAAATCCAAGTGATTGTGTGGGTGAAGGAAAGAGTGTTTTGTGTGTGATGGGTATTTGTGTGGGTATTATTTTTTTTATTTACTTTTTTTTTTGGGGNACGACATAGAGGCCTAGTAGCAACCAATATTTTAAAGAAACTCACCAGATTCAACTACCAAAGAAATTAATTTCAAAACCCACATTGACAAACCATATCAAAGAGTAAGAATATATACCTCTATAGAAAGTGTGGGCAAGTTTCACCGAAGGGAAGAGGGGGAAAAGGGGGGGTCTGCGTAAGAGAAACACAACTCCGTTTGATGAACATAAAAATGCAAAATTCATCATGGAAATAAAAAAAAAAACCCCAAAAACTACAAACTAAGAATTTAATTCGTCAAAAAAATAAGAAAAATAAAAGAAACAAATAAAACATTAATGTAGTTTAACATTGTCAATCAACGCATGTAGATAGGTGCAGTGTCAAAAATAGGCATGATGTTACTATCAAGTTTATCTAATTTATGTTTCTAAGCAATTATGTTAGGTGGATATCACATGATAACTTTTCATGAACTGCACTTGCATAATTGATCTTCCATGAATTCAGATTCCATTACTCCTTTAGGAATGATGCACAACAAAGATCAAAGCTAAACAAAACTTATAAAGAAAAACAAACAAACAAATGTCCCTTTAGAATGATGCACATCACATATCAAAGCTCTCAATCTCCATTGGAGTAGCATTAGCTAGCAAATTGGGCCTCAATCACAGGCAGTATCCATCTGTTACATTGTGATTTTCGTTTTCTCAATCTCAAGCTCCATTGTAATAGTCATTAATAGGGTTTTTTGTTCCATATCAGATCAGAAATTGAACAACATAATAATCAAAATAAATATTAAAATCCACATCCCAATTGTCATTCCAGTATTCCAAATTTAATACATAAGAAAAAAATAAAAAAAAAATATGAAATCATTAGAGAGAATGAGATTCAATCACAATTTGCATATAAGCGATGAAGCACGGTGTAGTAAAAACCAAAAAAAAATTGAAGAACGAACAGGAAAAAAGCTCTCTTAGAACTTTCGTCGAACATGTGGTGAGTATGTTTGGTGAAGGAAGGAGACTCTTTTGGATTTGATCTTCTTGTGACTGGTAGCATCATCAATAAACAAAAAAAATCTGATCAAAACTCTATATACCCATAAAGAAGTGAAATAAAACTCAGTTGAGTCAAAATAGAAAGAGGGTAGGGGAGGGGATGATGTTTGCGCAAAAGAGGGATGGGGGGGGGGATGTTTGCGCACAGGGGGAAGAAGGATGGGGAGATTACTTGGCAGTGGCAGTGACTGCAGCGAACTCGGTGGTGGTGGTGGTTGTGGTTGTAGTGGTGGCTGTGGCTGCAATGACGTTTGAAGTGGTTGTGGCTATGGCAAAAAACCGAAGACGTTTGAAGTGGTTATTCTGTCTCGCAGACTGTCTTCGGCATGGATTTGTGTAAATGACTCGCTGCCTGTCTGTCTGGGTGTGAGAAGTGAAGAGACTGAGAGAGAAGAGACTGAGATGAGAGTAAAGAGGGAGGAAGTGAGAGAGAGAGAGGACAACAGGGAAGAGCCGTTCCCTGTGTTTGCCAGAGACATTGCTCTGGGTTGGGTTGGGTTGGATGAGATGGTTTTGAAAGAAAAAATATATGGAGTTTAAAATTCAAATGCTCTTCTGTTTTTTTATATATATATATATATATATATATATATATATATTAGTAATAATTCGTGTTTAAAAGCACTGCGTATCACAAAAAAATCACCCACTAATCGAAAAATCATGAGCCCGTGTATCACTTTCTTACCTTGTGCAATATTTCAACCACGCAATATAGTTCAACAGAAATGATAAAGTTGTGTAAACATGCATTTGACTCATAATCACTTTTTTTGTAACGAGGGGATTCATTTAATTTGACAATATGGATTTATTGTAAATAATAAGAACATAAATAGTTTAACTTAATATTTAAAGAGCATCAAACAATCTTAAGAGGAAGCAATTAGCTACAATGTTGTTGTAATGCATAATCTAGTGAGGAAATGATGGCATAGTTTAACAATTCACTGACCATGACAAAGCTTAAAAGTGCAAGATTCATTTTCTTGTTGAAGCAAACTTGGTTCCATCAAGCAATATACCTATATAGTGAACTGGAAAATAAAATGATAAAAATTATTGGTAAGATCAAAATCAAACAAATTATCACCTGAGAACATTTTTAATCACAAAAAAAAATCTGATTTTTGAGAACAATGTCGTCGTACTATAATTGACAACTTCAATAAACTTGTTTTTGTCTATTTTTTCGGCATTATTTGGAAGGTCTCGTCCTAGCCTACGTTGATTTCAGGCTATGATAATACTTTCAATCTTTCATGCACTCGCGAAACTATGATAGTACTCAATTTCAATTTGTCCATTGGCAATTTCATGCACTTGCAAAGGTCAGCATACCAAACAATATTGCTACTAATCTCATATTACATACATGCACATTTCAGGCAAGAGCAATTAACAATAGAATAGCAAAGCAATGACCTAGATTGTCCACTTCACACCAACATCAGTACCACTTCGTGACATCACAAAATAATACACCACATGAAACCCATCCACCAATATTCCCATATTAATATCAAATCAAAGAGATGGAAGACCCTGAAGAAACAAAATCAAACAGAGATTAACCAATAAAATTTAATTCATCCAAATTGAAAAATATTCAAGTGCCCAAAAAAAGAAAAGAAAGAGGAAAGACCCTAATGATGTATTTGAAGTGAAATTGAACCAACTATCAAACCTTCTTTGTGTATGGCCCTTGGTAATCTTTTTTCTCTGGATATATATATATATATTTTCCTTGTCATTCACAACTCAAACAAAATAGGACAAAATAAATGGAAAATTTGGATACAAAAAATATTAACATTAAAAATAAAAAATATTAACCTTCAAATACAAAAAAAGTTATCATTTAGATACAAAAAATAATACCATTTAAACACAAAAAAATAGTAACATTTAAACATAAAAAAAATAGTAACATTCAATATTAATATTTTAAAAAAAATAACAATATTAACATGTTCAACAAAAATAGTAACATGTTTAACAATAATTATCTCTCTTAAATTCAAACGCAAAAAATAATACCATTCAAATACAAAAAATAGTAATATTTTTTTTAAAAAAATAGTAACTGATGAGTCCGAATTTTACTGGGCCAAGTCCAATAAAAATAAGCCGAAAAAGTCCAAAGAAAAGTCCAAGAACAGATGGATCGATCAAGGAGTCAAGTGGGAGTCCAAAACAAAAACCATACCCATGTGGCCTCAAGTGGGCGCCGTCCATGCCTCGCCCATCCTCCCCTCCTCACTTCACTCCAATGCAAGTCTAAGATCACTCCGAGTCCAAGCCCAAAGTCAAGTACGAGTTCAGTTCAAGACCTTCCTCCGAAAAAATTGGAGCATGAGGGAGGAAACGCCGAGATAGGCACAGAGATCTCCTACCATAACTGTACTTACTAAAACAGTAGAAGTCTTTCTCTTCACGTCTATATAATATAAGCCCTCTCCATATAGAGAGCAGACTCTCATAACCTAGAGATCTCTACACACATTACACCTTCCTACACACATTGCTCTCTCTCTTTTTCTAAAGCACTGTAATACATTAGAGTTACTCTCCCGGTAACACTGTTCATTAATAAAACACCTCAGGCCACTGTCGCCATTCCTAGGAGTGGAGTAGGTCACCCAGACCGAACCACTATAAACCTCTGTATTTTCTCATTATTTACTGCTTTAATCATTAATTGTTTGTTATTGCTCACTAATTGCACCTGTTTGTATACTTGACTGTTGATCTTGCGCGAGGACAATTTTGTGCATCATCAGTAACATTGAATATTAATATTTAGAAAAATATTAGTAATAACATACTCAATAAAAACAATAACATGCTCAAAATAATAGTAACATGAATAGTAATATAGTAAAAAAATAGTAATATGAAACATTCAATTTAAATAATCAACCCCACGAAAATATCACAAATTACAAAAAATAGAAAATTAACAATAAGGACCAAATATTTTCAACCATTACCTGTGAGAAATTGTAGCAGCAATCAACATACTTAATCATAATAACCCCGTACACAATAAAGACCTAACAATGACACACAAACAGAGAGAAAGAGATAACCTAAAATTCGTAGCTCAGATCTCTGATAGGATCGGAGAATAGAGTGAAAGAGTTATCTTCAGGATAAATACTACCATGTATTGCGAAGTCTGGATGGCGCCACTAGCTAGCGAGAGAGAGAGAGTTTTGAATTTGAAATTTAAATTTATAATTGAGATTTTATTAGCATATTTTAATTGATTTTGAATTAAAGGATAACAATTTTCAAGATAGGAAATTAATTTAACCTTCTTTCAAAGAATGATATTTTTAGAATTAAAAAAATAGTAAACTTTAAGAATTTATTAGTAAGATAAAAAACCATACTTATTACCAAATAAGTTTTCTTGACGGATTCAAGTTATTATAAATCCATCCAGGAGGATTCAACCGCAACTATCAAAAAATAAATTTCAAGTTTCAACCACTTATTCTACATATGAAAACCTTGACACTTTCTTTTCTTTTGCCTTTCCATCAAAAGCCATTTTTCTAGCAAATGGATTTTTTTTTATTTCACTGGTTTGCTCAATTTCTTTATTCCATCATACATATTCAAAAACAAAATTTCAAGTATGTGACCAAAACTATGAACAAAAAAAAAAATTAAATCGACATTAGTAAACTGAACTCATTTCTATTGTAAAAAAAAAAAAAAAAAAAAAAAAAA